AAGAATCAATATTCGCGACTCGAGTCTTAAAAATTCACAACTGGAGTTTTAAAAGGGATTTCATGCCTCAGGTCAGACAAGGCACTATTAGAGCTTACTTAGTAGGTCCATATCATCTTTGGATCAATCCACACATTATTCAGTATAATTAGTTTTCCAGTGACATGTTGACAGTAAACAAGTTTACTACCAACCAATATAACATCCTGAAACAAAGTGGCCTAAATAAACATAGAAAACTGCCTTAATGTTCGGCTCTGTGAAACAAAGGGTTAATTACATTCTACCATGACTAAATTTTATTGCCAGTTCAATAAGTGAAATGAGCATAGTTAAGTTGAAAAAGTTACTTACTTCATCTGATCTGAGGAAAGGCAGTCTCCAGCTTTTACACCCCCTAATTTGATAATGCCATCTGAAATTTCAATCAAGACTTCACATACCAATATTTAATTATTTATAATTCATAAACAATATAAACTTAATGATAACTATATCAATCAGTTCAAAACATGGCACAAGATGGTCCTCAAACATGAGATATTTAAAACAAAATTAGTCCGAGTGCTACAATACATCCAAAGATACATAAGACCAAACAGAAGCAGCACAGATACAGCAAAAGGCAGAACCTCTATTATATTAATCTATATAACACAATATAAAATCAAGAACTCAAATGTGTGTAACAAGAAATGGTGCCTTGGCCTATTAGTTACTAAGCGCCACCACATATAAACCCAAGTTTCAAATCTCATCTTCAATCATTTTACCAGAAAAAAATGCTGATTGAGTTAACTTGCAACAACTGTTATCATTCTAGCATAGGAATAACTCCAAAAAAAGCCTACTCAGGGGCAAGTCCCAATTCTTGTACAAGTATTCACAGCACAACGGCATACAAATGAACGAGCACCACAGCGATACCTGTCAAATCCAGAGAATCCACAACCAGTACCAAAATGTATCCACCACCAAGACCATACCAAAACCAAGGACACTTTAAAGGATCACATAAGGAATTGGCAAATCATCTAGAATTCAATAATAAGGATTGAAACTAATATAGTAACCCTGTCTTCTTCTTTTTTAATGTAATAAAGTTTTCTATGATTGAAACTAATATAGTAACAAAAAGGTGTGAACACTAGATCCCACCCTTCCTTTAAATTATTTCCTATGATTCTACAATGGCTTTGGCCATCACTAAAGCTCAACTACTTAAGTTGATTCCATATATTTAATCATAAAGTGGGCCATAATAAGGTGGTAATAAGGTAATAAAGAGGGTTCTCAAGCTAATAATTAATGGTGATGAGGCTAAATTTTGACCATGTAGGATTGAGAGTAAGGCGGCACTTTATGCTTGGTCAATTCCAAAAACTGACCCAGCCCAAGATTTGCTCATCCTGTCCAATAATAAAGTGGATTAAACTAAGCTTGGGCTATGTTTTGTTGCCCAAAGTTGAGTAAAGGGTTGGACTCAATGTTATGCCCCTAGCCCAAACCTAGTGCAAACTTATAATGCAATAGCAAAGGCATATTTGAAACAAATCATGAATAATCTTCATGTAGATCTTAACAGTTTTGACAGTTAACAGTTTGTAAACCTAATTAAGTACCATGGGTACTAAAGTAGCTCTCTTTTGTTAAAATAACACCACCTGTCGGACTTTGCGTGAGACATGACTATACATGCACAGCCCTGAATTATCATCCCCTATGAGGAAAGCAAGTGTAAAAGGAATAATTACCTCTTATTATTATTATTATTTTTAAACTCCCAACATTTGAATTGTTTGGAATTTTTTCAGCCACAAAGTAATTTAACGTTACGGCAGAAATAATTTAGATGTTGAAAGCCATGGCCAATATAAGAACTGAGTGTCTAAAAAAAATGGAACCCAACTAGTCTTATACTTGGAAAGAGACCAACAAATACAAATGAATAGGGGAACACGCATAAGATGTCAAAACTATTCTTTTTGAAATAATTTTCACATGAAGCACAACCTTGTGACTTTATCAAGCTGTAATTTTGAAAAGACGGCACTAAGAGGCATAAACACTTCTATAAATGTAGCATGTCCATGTTGGACAAGTGTTGAACCGACAATTCGAGAACACTCTCATATAGTCCATCATCTCATGAACATATCAATAATTTCAAAATCAATTCCATTATTTTGAACACTTAGACGACACATCTCAAAAACAGAGAACAAATGACTAAAGTAGCACAAAAATGTTTCAAAACATCAACTTCGATAATCTTGGAAACATGACGAAAATGCCACTAAGTGTCCAACCTTATTAAGAAAAGCTGGCATCATACACATGGCCACCACAAGTAAAGTATTCAATAAAGACTTTTTAATATATAAATAGAATATATTTATAATGACAACAAATATAATTGTACCAGCAGGTGATCTAATATAAAAATCTTTATGGTATTTGTTTAGTGTTATCTTCCATAGTATGCAATTCTTAAGATAGAAAATTAATCAAAGTTCTATAATTGTCTTATATGAAAATTTTTGCAACTAAAAGTTTTATAATTTATCTATTGTTGTACCGCATTATGTCCGTATCATATTTTTTTGGGATTCAATGAATTCAGTTATCCAAGCCCATGTCACATATATATGTCTATGTTACTTAGAAGATTCATAGAGTTACTAAGTTTTTAAAATAAAGTTAATTATCCAATGTGGACCGTTAATCAAGGGTAGTGGGAAAAGGTGAACTGGATATACACCTAACCTTTAATATTATTTGCACAAAGTCACTGCTCTCAAGATTAGAACCCGTGTTTCTCATGCTTAACAGCCCGGACATTTTACAAGCACACCAAGCAATGCTATTAAATTGTTATTCCCTCCATCCCATAATAGTTCTCTTTTAGGGAGTAGAACTTTTTATGGGGACATGCAATTAATGCATTGTCCCCCTTTTAAAATTACCAAGTTATCCTCTTGAGTTTGAATATATATATATAATAAAGTTGGAAACTTTTGAAAACTTCAAGGGTATTATGGAAAGATGCATTTAACTTTTTTTTTTATAAGTAAAAATATATTAGAAAAACGTTCAAAAGGGGAACGCGTCCCTAATACACAGGAAAGATGCATTTATCTTACATGATTTTTTAGAAGTGGGACAACTATTTTGGAACATCCCAAACAGGAAATGACAACTAATATGGGACATAGGGAGTAATAAGTTGTTATAATAATGAAGCACATTTTAAATACTGTTTTCTTACTTTCCAACTATATTATATTCATGAAAAATAATTATAAGTACAATTCATCATATAAGATGCACAATATTGTTACTGAAAGTGAAATGCTTATCATTCACATGTAATTAATGTGGCTTCTGAACTATATCAACCACATAACTTAAATGTTTTTATTTTGTTGATATGCATTGTTAATAAGTTATTACATTCATTCTATATATATATATATTAGGTAACTCATTTATTGCATTAAATTAAATTAAATTAGACAAGTTCATTATCCTTCCAACTTAACCAAAGGATATATGATGAACTATAAAAGATATCATCCATACAAGCCTTTAATCTTTTCCTAAATTGCCATTTATTAGAAGAGAGATTATGATATCATTTATTACTTCGTCGTATCTAGTAAACGTCCGAACAGAAACAAAGCCATAATAATATATTTACGTCAAATTAGAGAATTAATTAATTAATTTTTAAATGATATCACAATAAATAATTACGAAGTAATTTTTTTTCAAAAAAAAACAAATAGGCAATGAGAATCTTTTCTCTAGTCATATGGGTCTGTAGCAAAATTCCCAAGATTACTCTAATTTGAACAAAAAAACATAAAATACTTGTTTTGTGATCTTTAAACAACTCATCTTATTTGTTTCACCAATAGAATACCACACTTATACCTACATATACACATTTTTACAGAAAATAAATAAATCAATCAATCAATGGTATACATATAAACATCAATGTAAATACTTCCAACAAGTAATTTTTACGCTGACATGTCAACTAAGTAATGTCTTGCCTAGTAATTAAATATAACCTTTTGTTAGAGTTCTGCAAGCAGGAAATTATTTTAAATCAGACATAGCTTGACCTCAGTAGAAAGAACTACATTGCATAATTGGTCATTACAATTTTACCTAAAATGGTAAACCACATTTATAATGACAAAGCATCACAGCGTAATTTCCTCTTTAATGGGCTAGATAACTCTCAAACCAAAATGAGAAAATTACAGAATTAAGTGACTATTAAGACAATTGGGCCCACTCATCAAGAAACGAGACTAATCAGACGGTAGGTTTCTGAACAGATAAGAATTCAAAAGTCTTCAAAACCGATGATAACAAAGAACTTAATGAGAGAGAAAGTAAAAAACTGAATCCATAAATAGTGTCCTCCTCCATTTGCTCTTATTTTTTGACATCTCATCAATGACAATTTACCTCATGGATTTCGCTTTTAAATCTCATCAAATAAATGTTTGCCCCTGCATTTTTGCCTTTATAAAGTCAATGGGCACTTGATTGAAACTATAATTTTTGGTATATCTTCCTTTTTTTCTCCAAAAGAAAATTCTACCTTGTATATGAAGTGCTTTTTTGAGTTCTTTCTTTACTAAGTATCTTTTGAGTAAAAAAGAAAACAAAAGCAAGAAAGTAGAATAAGAAACCAGAAGGTATCTATTCAGAGAATGAGATTGGAGCCATACATTGCGAACTTGATGTTCTAATCAAATTCTTCCAAATAAATTATTTCTTTTTAAAAAAGGTTTGTCTTCTGATCTACATACTATCTTGTTTACAAATTTGTAGGTTCAAATCTGCATGTCTTCGTTATCTACTATTTGACACTTTAATTTTTTACATTCTACTCGAGTATACCTTAGGGCTCTTCTTGGATCCTCTGCAGCAGTACTGAACTGATCTTTTGGGCTGCTGGCGGGCGAAGAGTTTGAGGCCTATAAAATTGAGTCTTAAAAGAAATATCAGCTTGCATGGGTAAAGAAGGGCCGTGCTTCCATTGTGGGATTGAATGTGAGTGTTCCATATCATTCAATATATATTGGCATTAGTATGTCTTCCTGGATTCACTTTCACAATTATACAATATGTGCTCTGTTCCATTGAATACTCTCTCTCTCCGGGGAACCAAAATTGGGGATTATAGAATGCTGCCCAAATCAGAGTTTTAAATGTGCTTCTCGGATTAGGAATCTTTGTGCATAAAACATCCAATGCTAGAGTGCTCCTAATTTGTTTATTTTGATAGTCAAAATGTGTGGATTAGATCAACACACATCTTTCTAGAACTATTATAAGGAAACATTGTTTTCCTGTTTGATCTAGATAAAGCTTTTGAATGTCTGCACCAATTTTATCTATTTTAGATTATTATTATTTTTTTTTTGATAAGTATCTATTTTAGATAATTTTTAGAAAAAATAATTTTTTTTTTTTTTTAATTTTCCACTCCATGGAATATTTTCTTGGCTCCGTAAAGTTAAAACACAAGTAGTAATGTCATAAATTTTATCCTGAGTAATATGATGACCTAATAGGTCTCCAGTTTCTTCGTATTCTTCTTTTTTTCTTTTTCTTTTTATTTTTATTGATAAGTAAGCCACACTTAAACACCCGGTTTGTCCCATTTGGGACTTGCACACATGATCTCCTCATTTGGGAGATGAAGGAGATGGCACTCAAGAATTAGCTTGGTGGCACTAGGTCTCCAACTTGAGTGTTAAATTTGATTTATATAAAAATAAATAAAAAATAAAAAGAAGAAGAAGAAAAAGAAGAAAATATGGCCCTACAATTCAAATTAAAATTTAAAAGATATAATAAAATAAGAATACATCAAATGGTTATAATTGACCCATAATTTGTCCTACAATGACACTTCTAAAGTAATTTTGTTTCTTTTTAAGCAAAAATTCACAAATCAGGAAAGTTAATTATTGTCATACTGAAATATAAATCGTATTATCAATAAGCATAAAGAGAGTTTACTTTTCTTTTCTTTTCTTTTCTTTTCTTTCGTTCTTTTTTTTTTTTTTTTGGATAAGTTGGACTTGTTTGACCTTTCTTCTTCCATTCAAAATGAGATCTATCAGTGGTATATTATTTTTCAATGTATCATGTTAAACCTACAAAGGTTATTAGAAGAATGAACATTACAATCATGATTCAGAAAGGTTAGAAGCCATTGTGGCCAGACATCCACATCAACTTCCCCTCTCTTTCGAAGAGCGCATCTTCTTAAACAATGAGCAACCTCATTACATGATCTTGGACACCAACTCAAAACCCACTTTGGGTGAAGCTTGAAAAGGGTTCTAAAATCATCATATTGGGTGTCTGCAAGACAATCAACAGGAGCCAAACACATAACCCTCTTACAGTCACCTTCGATTATCACACCTGTATAACCCCATTGCAGCAGGTACTTTAAACTTTCACTAAGAACAGAAGCTTCCGCCACCTCAGCATTACCCACATGCTGAATAAAAAGAGTTGCCACCTCCACAGCTCTTCCTCGTGAGTCCCACAGCACCAACCCACCTCAACAAAAATCTTCACCAGCCACAAAAGATGCATCAATATTTAACTTCACCATCTCATTTCCCGGGGCTGTTCAATTTCAGGTAGGAGGATAAGAGTTATCTGATTTTAGGGATGAATCACTTCACGGAAGAGAACATGAGGGGTGAGCAACAATCGACCTACCCAAGTTTGTACTAGCCATCATCAGTTTACCTGCTTGCTGAAACCCCCCTCCATAGCCGATTGAATGGTTGGATAGCAACTCAACTGTTCACTATACTTCCTGTATCCCACTCCCCTGCCTCTCTCTCTCGACCCATTCACAGGAGTATGTTGGGCTAGAATGGAGAAGTAGAACTTGGCATTTCCATAGCTCTATCATGAATATAATGGCCCTGGAACTCTATATAGTAAAACATTACTTTATCAAGGATTGCAATAGGCTCCCATTTTACACCATTAAAACACCAATCATTCCTAGGCTCCTAGCCTTCCACAGTTGCCAACAAATGAAAGCCCCTAAGCTCAAGTGATCTCAACAGTTATCAGTGTTAGACCATTTGCTATTCAAATGAAACCACACCTGCTTCCAAGTAACTTGTACATCCATTGATGAGTTTATTGATTTTTTGGGTTCGGTGGGTCTGAAGGACCTTGTCTCTGGCTTCGGCCTCCATATAGCTCTTAGGACGCATTCCCCATTCGAAAACTTTCTAATATATTTTACTAATCAAAAAAAAAAAAAAAAAAAAGGTAACTTCACTTTCAATCCTAAAATCCATTCACAGAGGACTAGCTCCCCATATAACTTTTGCATCAGGACAAAAACAAATTAAATGGACAATAGTCTGATCTTTTCCCCCACACAATTCACATTCTGCAGTCTAAACTAATCCTCTAATTTCCAAATTGCTCAAAATTGAAAGCCTCTCATGACAACATTGCCAAATAAAGAACTGAATCTTTCTGGGAGTCTTTAGCTTCCAAATACCCTTCCATAGAGGACAAAACTCCTGATTAATGCTGCTGTAAGCCCCATTTCTTCAACCGACTGAGGAGCTTCAAAAAGTTGCAGAGCTACCTTGTAAGCACTTTTCACAGTAAAGCTAACATTGGAAGTCAATCCCCACACCTTCTTATCTGACCCCCCAAATTGATAAATAGGAATTTTGAGAATCAACTTAGCATCTCGATCATTGTAAGCGTGCTTAACCAAATCCACCTTCCAAGTCTTAGTCTAATGATTAAACTGTTTAAATATTGCTTCCAAGTTAATTAAACAAATAAAAATAAAAATAAAAAACTTGGAACCTAATAATTCTTCTTTCGTTTCATTTATAAACTCAATTTTGTACTAAAAAACTTCATTATTATTGTTCCTACAGATTGAAGTAAAGATGTATAACACACTGGATCATTGATCTTCATGTAATTCAGGATCAGTGTGTGTTGCTTACTGATCGGTGTGTGTTGCTTACTGATAGTACTAAGGACTAAGAACCTGAATCCAAGGATCTAATACAAAGTTGTGAAAGGTCCTGATCTAAACCTAGAGGAGGGTGAATAGGTCTTGTTAACTACTTATCAACAACAACAACCACCACCAAGTCTTTTCCCAATTACTTGGGGTCGGCTACATGAATCTCATGTTTCCATTCCGCTCTATTGGGAGTTAATTCAGGGATTTGATCTGCATCGGGAGTTCATTCAAGGATTTGATTTGATCTAATATTATTTTTGCGATGTTGTGGCTTGAATTTGGTGTCTGGTTGCATTGTGACCCGTTTACAACCCGACGGCCCATTGATTGAGCATTGTGTGGGCCAAAACCCGCCAAAGCTCTTGGGGTTCGGGGCAGCGCCCCCAAGAAATTTTTTTGACCTGTTTCTTACTTGCAGGTCATGGACCCTATTTAGTACTCTCTTGTAGCCTAATATATAAGGGCGTTTCGGGTTTGGATTGGATGATTTGAGAGACACTGAAAATCGCAGAAAAGAGAGTGAGAGTGGGAGCGAGAGCGAGGGTTTGGGGCTGAAACTTGTAATCTCCTGATCTTCGCATAGTGAAAACTTTTGCCGAATTTTCACCATGGATGTAGACTTTGCCGAAGCACGATAAATCTTTGTGTTCTTTGTGTGTGTTGTGTTTACTTTTTTGTTGTGTTTCTTGATTTGTTCTTGCGTTTACTGCATTTGTCGTAACAGTTTTCCTCATCTACACCTAAATTAGAGGCATAGGATCAATGATTTGTTTACTTTCCACTTATGTAATACTTAGCATGCAATATAAATTAGGAGTATGGCTAATGAGAATTTATGGCTTATAACAGTCTTTCACATTCAACTTGGTATCAGAGACAAGCTCACGACACACCCTCCGCTGCTTGATCTCTGCTTCATATTCTCTTGGTTCATCCTCTGAGGGGTCCTTTCGTGGAGAGCTATTTGGCATTCAAAGGCCCCTCTTAAAGTGGCGTTTTTGTGTGGACATCTATCCTGGGAAAGATCTTGACTCAAGATAACCTTAAGAGGAGGAGACATATTGTGGTCAATTGGTGTTATATGTGCAACAATGATGAGGAAATAGTGGATCACCTTCTTTTGCATTGCCCAGTGGCTCGGGATTGCTGGATTTTGTTGTTGGCTTTGTTTGGAGTTCAGTGGGTTATGCCTAGGTCTTCCAGAGGCTTGGTTGAGGCTTGAAGAGATAGTAGAGTGGGGCTAAAGTTCGTGATATCTAGAGGGTTACACCTTTGTGCGTCTGGTGGTGTCTGTCTTGAAAGAAACAGGAGATCCTTCGAAGGAAAGGAGAATCCTATTTGGACATTGAAGTTCTCCTTTATTAGCACCCTTTTTGGGGGGTCCTAGGGAGAATTTGTAAATCCATTGATGAAATTGTTGATTTTTTGGACTCGTTGAGGGTTCAGAGGCCTTATTTGGCCTTGTGTGGCTTTTTAGGGATGCGCTCCCCTTTTGAACGCTTTTTATACAATCTTTACTCATCAAAATAAAAAAAAAACTTTAGTCACCAACAACTAGACCACACCCAAGCAAACCAAACCCTTTTGGGATTCTTCCCTCCATTGCTTCATGAGATAGAGGAGTCTCTCTCTAAACCAACGATCGGCTCGGTTGTTATGCGCTGTTAATGAATCGTCCAACCTTTTTTCATACTTTGTCGACTTCCGCAAGGGTTAGGACATGTCGTTGGCAAATTGTCCAGCCTACTTTCACCCTTGCAGACAGAGCTGCTCACTGGGAAGATTTTTCTATCCCTTGCAATTTGCTGGACAGGACTTTTTTAGCCCTTGAGACCTGAACAAGGAGCCTTTTCTAGCTTCACAACCTGCAGATAGAGCTATTCCAGCCCTTGTGGACTTGCAAACAGCAGTGTTTGCAATCTGCGATATGGTGAG